GCCTAAGGACTGTATGGACAGAAGGGTCCTGGGTGTGATTCTGCTCAAGGGCACATACCTTGGTTGCAGCCTCGATCCCGGGCCCTGGTTGGGGCGCACGCGGGAGGCAACCAATCAGTGTGTCTCTCTCACACCAATGTTTCTATCTCTCCCTGTCCTTTCCACTCTCTAAAAAAAAAAAATCAATGGAAAATATCCTCGGGTGAAGAGAAAGAAAACAAAAAGAAATAAAAATAATGTTAACATAAATGATTAATCTTTTATTAATTAGCACCTTATATATTCTAACAGTGAAGACACAAAAGACAGACATGATAGCGGAGCCAGGAGAGCTCCCTGAACAAACACACAGGAACCGGGGCGGACAGGGCTCAGGAGGCCGATGGAGCGGGTGGAGGCTCCACCCTCCGAGAATGGGCCTGCACCCACGGGTGCTGCAGGACCTGGGCCAGTGGCAGCCTCTCCGAGGGCTGGTATCTGAGAAGCTTGCTGATCAAGTCCTGGGCCCCCAAAGGTATCGATGGAGGAAACTTTACATCAACCTGAGGAGGTTGGAGGAGAAACACAAGTATGGTTAACTCCCCTCATAGCTGCCTGCCCTGCCCCCTCCTGTAGCTCTCCACCCACCCGTAGCTCGCTGCCCCACCCTCCTGCTGATCTGTGATCCAGTCGTTCCATGGTCAGTCGTTATGGGGTGTTATGTAACGGCCATTTGCATATTACATCTTTATTATGTAGAATATGTGTGTGTGTATGCATTTAATATATTTTTATTTATTTCAGAGAGGAAAGGAGAGGGAGAGATAGAAACATCAATGATGAGAATCTATTGGCTGCCTCCTGCACGCCCCCTACTGGGGATCGAGCCCACAACCTGGGCATGTGCCCTGGACAGGAATCGAACCCGGGTCCCTTCAGTCAGCAGGCCAACGCTCTATCCACTGAGCCAATCCAGCCAGAGCTGGTATGGTTAACTTTTTTTTGGCTCAGATTCTCTCTGCGGTGAGTCCTTTCCAGGCACGGGATCTAAGGCAACAAGCTCTGTGCATGTCGCAGGCTGGGCAGGCCCAGCAGCCACGGCTGCCAGCTGCCCCAGGAGCCTCACCTTGAGGATGCGCCTGTAGGTCTCGGAGTAGGAGGTGCTCTCGAAGGGGGGATTTCCCACCAGCAGCTCGTAGCAGAGCACCCCGATGCACCACAGGTCCACCATCTCGCTGTACGTCCTCTGCTCGATCATTTCCGGGGGCAAGTAATCCAGAGTCCCGCACATGGTCTTCCTCCTGGAGGCGGGCAGAGGCGTGAGCGCAGCCTAGAGGCCCAGAGCAGGGAAACATCCTTCATCGGCCCCAGCGAGACGGGAGTCCCCTCCCCAGCACGGGAGGTGGGAAGCACCAAGTTTTTCTTTATTTTTTTTAATTGTATTGATTTCAAAACTGAGAGAGAATCATTGATCGGCTGCCCCCTGCACACCCCCTGACCGGGAATCGAACTGTAACCTACTGGTTCATAGGTTGACACTCAACCACTGAGCCAGCGCTGGCTGGGCATGGAAGCCCCAAGTTTTGTGTTTTTTTAAAAATATATTTTTATTGATTTTAGAGAAAAAAGGTGAGAGAGAGATAGAAATATCAATGATGAGAGAGAATCATTGATCGGCTGCCTCCTACATGCCCCCTATTGGGGATCAAGCCCACAGCGTGGGCATGTTCCCTTCACCAGAATCAAACCTGGGACCCTTCAGTCCACAGGCCGATGCTTTATCCACTGAGCCAAACTAGCCAGGGCCCAAGTTTGAATATGGATCAGGGTTCCGAGAAGGCAGGGATTCCGGATTTTGGAATTATCCATACAAAGATTTAAGACAGAGAGGCAGAGAGGCATCGATTGGTTGCCTCCTGCACGAGCCCCAACGGGGCCTGGGTCTCAACCTGCAACCCTTGAGGGTGTGTGCCCTTGACTGGAGCTGAACTCGAGACCCTTCACTGAGCAGGCTGAGGCTCTAACCACTGAACCCACTGGCCAGGACCCAAGCGAGACTCCTTGTGCAGGGACAGCTGTTGTAATCTCCTTGAATGACATCAGCATAGTATACTAATGCACAAACCGCTAACACATTCATTTGCTGTCATTATCAAGCACCGTGTACTATATATAACTGTATGTGCTACACGTTTGTCTTTAGTCATTTATTTTCATCCTCGCCCGAGGATATTTTTCCATTGATTTTTTGTGTGCTTTTTTTTAGGCAGAGTGGAAGAGAGAAGGGAAGACAGAACCATCAATGCGAGAGAAACACATCGATTGGTTGCCACCTGCACCAGCCCCAATGAGGGCACAATGAGGGAGGAGCCTGTAACCGAGGTACACGCCCTTGACCGGAATCAAACCCAGGACCCTTCGGTCCGCAGGCCCACGCTCCATCCACTGAGCCACACTGGCTAGGGCTGTATGTGCCACTCTTATTTTTTTATTTAAATTTTTTTTATATTTTATTGATTTTTTACAGAGAGGAAGGGAGAGAGATAGAGAGTTAGAAACATCGATGAGAGAGAAACATCGATCAGCTGCCTTCTGCACATCTCCTATTGGGGATGTGCCCGCAACCGAGGTACATGCCCTTGACCGGAATCGAACCTGGGACCCTTCGGTCCACAGGCCCACTTGCTATCCACTGAGCCACACCAGCTAAGGCTGTATGTGCCACTCTTTTAGATAACTGGCAGCGCAGGTTTATTCACACAGCATCACCATGGACACGTGATGCATCACGCTACACGCAGCGGTTCTCAACCTGTGGGTCACGACCCCTTTGGCAGTCGAACGACCCTTTCACAGGGGTCGCCTAAGACCATCCTGCATATCAGATATTTACATGACGATTCATCACCATAGCAACATTACAGTGATGAAGTAGCAACAAAAATAATTTTATGGTTGGGTCACAACATGAGGAACCGATAACAGTAGCAAAATTACAGTTATGAAGTAGCAACGAAAATAATTTTATGGGTGGGGGTCACCACAACATGAGGAACTGTATTATACAAATAAAAGGGCCAGAAGGTTGAGAACCACTGCACTAAAGGCAGCATCGTTAGGTGGTGCCTGCCAGTACTCAGTTACAAACCCAGGCCTGTGTCCGGGTCTTACACCTGGGACATGTTACCTCGCATCATTCCTAACCAGCAGCCCAGGGCCCAGCCCGCCCCCGCCCCTGCCCGACTCACCTCAGCGAGGGGGTGTGCACGGACCAGCCGAAGTCCGCGATCTTCACCTCCCCCCGCAGCCCCAGCAGCAGGTTCTCCGGCTTGATGTCCCGGTGGATCACCTTGTTCTCGTGGCAGTAGGCCAGCGCGCGCGCCAGCTCCTCCATGATCTGTGGGGGCGGGGGCGAGGGCAGCCTTAGAAACGAAGCCTGGCCCTGACCGGTGTGGCTCAGTGGATAGAGCGTGGGCCTGTGGACCGAAGGGTCCCAGGTTCGATTCCGGTCAAGGGCACACGCCTGGATTGCATGTTTGATCCCCAGTAAGCGGCATGCAGGAGGCAGCCAATCAATGATTCTCTCATCATTAATGTTTCTCTCTTCCTTTCTCTCTGAAATCAATAAAAAATATGTAATAGGTTTATTAAAAGCAAAAAGCAATCTGGACATTCATGACAGCCACAAGCAGTGATCTCCCTCACCAGCCCACAGTAAACTCATGGCCCCAAAGCCCCAGCCACCCTCCCCTGCCCCCCCACCTCACCGTGGCCGCACGCTGCTCATCGATCGTGTGGCTCTTTTGCAGCTCCTTGTAGAGCTCACCCCGTGGCGCGTATTCCAGGATCAGGTACACACGCCGCTCATCATGGAAGTAGTTGTACAGGCGTAGGATATTGGGGTGTCTGGAGGGCAGACGGCAGGAGGGTCAGACTCCTCCCTGAGGCCCAACTCATGATGTTATTACAAGTGATTGGTCACACAAGACACAAGAAGCAGGTTGTGGCCCGGCAGGCGTGGCTCAGTGGCTGAGTGTTGACTTATAAACCAGAAGGTCATGGTTCAATTCCCATCAGGACACATGCCCGGGTTGCGGGCTCCATCCCCAGTGTGGGGGGTGTGCAGGAGGCAGCCAAGCCATGATTCTCTCTCATATCAGATTCTCTTTCTCTCTCTCTCTCTCTCTCTCCCTCCCGTTCTCTCTGAAATCAATGAAAAAATATATATATTTAGAGAAAAAAAAGAGAATACGGTTCCTTAAATCTTAAAAAGCAAAAAAAGCAGATTGTCCTGGCACCAGTATAACAGCCTGAGCTGGGACTGCATGAGGGGAGAACAAGGAAAGGGCATTTAGTGTGTGACACAGGGGGCTGCACGGAGTGTAACTGTGATAAATTGCAGACCTTCAGCTGAAAGCAAGGGCCTTGCCTCATTGGGGGTTGTTTGGAGGGAGATGCTGGGTGCGTGCGTCAAAGACAAAAGAGGACACAGTTGGTCTGGCTCAGTGTATAGAGCGCGGACTGAAGGGTCCTGGGTTCGATTCCAGCCAAGGGCACATGCCAGGGTTGTGGGCTCGATCCCCAGTGAAGGGCATGCAGGGGGCAGCGGATCCATGATTCTCTCTCCTCATGAATGCTTCTATCTCCCTCTCCCTTCCTGTCTAAAATCAATAAAATATCTATTTTTTAAAAAAGGGTCAGGCACCCGTGTGGGCCCTGGCTGGGGCGCTCAGCTAGTTAGCACATCCCCCCATGGAAGCCATTGTGGGTTCCATCCCCGGCCAGGGAACTACAAGGGTCACCCATGAATGCAGAAATAGGTGGAACAACAAACTGATGTTCTTTTTTTTTCTTTCTTTCTTTGTTTTTTTCATGTGACAGTCGTGATACTTTGTATTTATTTATGTATTTTTAAATATATTTTTATTGCTTTCAGAGAGGAAGGGAGCGGAAGAGAGAGAGAGAGAGAGAAACATCGATGATGAGAGAGAATCATTGACTGGCTGCCTCCTGCATGCCCCCCACTGGGGGGGGATCGAGCCGGCAACCCAGGCATGTGCCCTTGACCGGAATCGAACCTGGGACCCTTTTGTCCGCAGGCCGACGCTCTACCCGCTGAGCCAAACTAGTGTTCTTTTCTCTCTCAAATGAAAAGAAAAAACAACCGCCACCAAAACCCCCGCAAGCAAGCAAAGGCCCCGCGTGGAGCCCCCTAGGGGGAGACCGGCCTTACTGCAGGTGCGCCTGGATCTCGATCTCCCGGCGCAGCTGGTGCTCCATCCCCTCCTTCTCCAGCTGCGACTTGAACAGGACCTTGAGGGCCACGATGAAATGGCTGTCCCGGAGCCGGGCCAGGTACACGTTCCCGAACTTCCCCTTGCCCAGGGGGCGCCCGATGTCAAAGTCATCGATGGTGAGGCTGCGGCTGCCGGGGGAGGGAGAGGACGGCCCGGGTCGGGTTGGGGAGTCGGGTGGAGGGGGAGTCGGGGTGTCTGGAGGGCTCGCCTTCCCCT